ATATTATGGATGACACAATGATATTTAGCTGCTAAATATATCTCAGCTTAAAAATAAAGTAATGAAAAATGTGTAAAAATAACTTTATTTATTATTCAATTTTATACATTCTGGATTGAGATGAGATGGGCGGATATATGATGTGTCGAGAAATAAACAAAAGCACTGAACACTTTTAAATAGTGTGACTTTTCTCACGGTACATGGCATTTTTAAATGATGAAAATGTTTATATATTACACAGATTTTTACTAGAAAGTTATTGTGTCATTATTCTTCTGCTATTTTTAATGCCATTAGATAGCACTTCTTTGTCTTGACTTTAGTTTTGCATTCTTCATTTACTTCTTTATGGTGTTAATAAGGTTTTTGATGATTTTCCCATTTCATGTTTTTCAGATGAAAGTTTTCCCGTTTCTCTTTTTGCAGTAGGAAGTTTGTGTATCATTACTTTTTCCTTTTTTAATGCCATTAGATAGCACTTTTCTCTTTTGACTTCTTTCTTGCAGTTTCTCTCTTTTTTGATATTTTTCTCATATCCTCTTTTTCAGTAGAAAGTTATTGTCTCATCATTTCTTCCACTTTTATTTCATTCATTTTATTGAGCTGCCAACAAATTCTTTGATGATTTTGCACAATCTTTTTCCCAGTAGAAAGTTATTGTATCACTATTATTCCCATTTTTAATGCCGTTAGATGTCACTTTTTTATTTTGACTTTTTTTTGTAGTTTCTTACTTGCCATTTTTTATTGAAGGTCTTTGGATATTCTCTCATTTTAAACGCTATATGAACCAAATTGAGCATTAACTGCATGCGCGAGCCAAATGAGGAAGTTAACAAGTATAACTGATTTTAATTAAATTTATATTTTGTTCAATTGTGTTGCATTAAAATAAAAAATATGTTCAGAATCATATATATTAAAAAGCTGATATATAGCTGAAAACGAGAAGACCTTCTTATGCTGAAATATCTTCAACTTTCTCATGCTGAAGTGTTCAGCGCTTAGAATAAAAACAGACAGTGTTATATTAAAGTATTAAAAAGAATTAGAAGAACCAAGTTAACTAAATAGATAATAAATAGTAAATTAACCTCTAAATAAATTAAAAGCCCTTAAATATCAATATTATACAAATTGTGTATCAACTGTTGATAAGAGCGATGACGAAATAGAATCCTTTTAAACTGAACTAGATGAACTTATGTTACTAACAAAGCAATAGGAAGCAAGACTATCTGGCACTTGTTTAAGTAAAGATGAAGTAAGAAACTCTACTTAAGAAATGAATAATAAGAAAGCAACCGATCCAGATGAGGTGCCATCTGAAATATTTAAAATAGACGAAGAAAATATGATGCTCTTAGTAAATATGCCATGTCGAATACTTGGTAATATGGTACTTAGTAGACTACTCGTACTGGACATTCTGAAATTCATATAGAATAAGCCCGAATATATGCAGTTTTCAATTAAATGAATAAAAAACAAACTAATTAAACTATTCGGTTATTAATCTTAAAGTAAGAAGTTTAAAAAAAGGTTAATAGTCATGGATTTGTTAATCGATTGGTCATGATCTACATAAATTGTATTAATAGTAATAGTATTTCAAAGTAGAGATCACTACTTATATGGGTCAATTTAACTACTTAAAAGTAATTTATAAGTATGAATATCTATCTGTCTTAGTCTTATTATAATCTCTTAGTAAGGACAAAAATCATTTTAATATTGTACCTAGTACAAATAACAAAAAAGAGGTACTGATAAGCAATTTGATTTGCTTATTTAAAGTAAAAACGAAGCTATTTCGCTACTCGCTGTCCATTAAGTCTGCCACTGTTTTCCTTTTTAGCCGTCTAGGTAGTGCGATCGCCTGGAGAAGACTGTAACGTTGACATCTCATAATACCTTTGATATCTTACAAGCAT